ATTTCTCTCAATATGCAAACATCATTCTTGAATTCATCGAAATATATATTTATTCCGCCCACACACAAACCACCATTGTCTTTGTAGAAACAATGCGGATGCCTGTAGCTGCAAAATTGGCACGACAGCTATATCAAGAACGAATTATTGAATTGAAACAATTGATTAAGGTCCAAGAAGAGAATTTTCGGTAATTTGAATTTTTTTTGAGTTCTATTCTCTATACTCTAATAATTCAAACTTTAAAAAAACAATTGGGAATTAGAAAGGTTGTTACGGAAATTGACGAAATCCGTACTGGTAAACTTGATGGAAAGTTAAAAGAAATATTAAAAGAACAAGAAGAATCAAAGAAGCAGAAGGAGCTTCAGGAGGCAGGGCCTTCAAGTGGTGTAATTGTACCACTTCCTCCTGTTGTCTCTCAACAAGAAGTAAAACAACCTTCGCAACAGATTATTCCTGCTCTTGCCAGTGAATCAGGGTCAACGCAAGCTATCACGCCAAGTACTTTGCAGCAACAGCACCAGCATGCTTTTAATGTTCCTATAAAACAAGAAGCATCTACATCAGCCTCTGTTTCGGGCTCTTCCGCCGAAATTCACAACGTGCAATTAAATCAAGCTATTCCCGAAACGATAAACCAAAATGTTTTTTCTTCAGATACTGTTCAGAGAGAAAGCCAAATAGATAAAATTGTGGATATTAATTCTAATAAAAGCTCAACAAATACTTTATTTATTCAACAAGAACAAATTAAGGCAGAGGATATATCTCGAAAAAATATAGAAAAGCCCGATATTATAATATCAGAAGCTGTAACCTCAAAGAATGAAGTGGAAATAAATTCCAGTAAAGCCTTTTCATCTGCCCGTGAGTTGGCCTCTTTAACTTCTGAAGGGGACAAAATTGAGACTTTGATATCTCGAGATACCAGCAATTTGCCTAGTGAATCTGGAATCTTTGACATTCCCACTACAGAGATTTCATATCAATCAATTGATGGGGATATTAAATCAGATGAGACGAATCATATCACTATGAATGCGGAATCTTCTCTAATTGGTGTCGGCGCAAATAATGCACAAGATGAAATAAATCCTCAAGATTTTTCATTTAATCGTGAATTTCTTGAAACTATAGAAGAAGAATCGCCGATGCAGGGAGGCGAGCTCGTTAAGCAGATTGAAAACTCTGTTTCAACATCGCCTGTTGTGTTAGATGATAGTAAACTAATTGAGCAGACTGAACCGATAATATCAATAGAGAAACAAAATGATTCGAGACTTTTAGAACCGGGAAATAACAAAGAAGGTATTGACACTACAAAATATCTATTTACTCAAACTTCAAATACATTTTCTGCGGATTCATCGCTACAGTTAGAAGGGGGTCTAAGCAAGAGCGAACAACTAAAGAAAGATATAATTACAAATGAAGTAGCTACTATGAAAACTAAAGAAGAAATATCTCTCGAGCGATCATATGAAGGGAAAGCTACGTCGCAGATTACTCCTGGAGTTGATTTTGATTCTATGGATATAGATAGCAGCCAACCTATTAGTGTCAGACGCACATCTTCGCATGAAATAATTAAACCACAGCAGAAAGTTAATGTTGATAGAGAACTGCCGAAACAAGGATTCGTTAAAAGACTTATCAAAGAATCATCGTATACCCCATTAGCACCATCAGATTTTGAAACACCTCTTACTATTGACGGAGATGCTGAAGAGGTTGAAAAAATAGATGATAATGCGATGGAAGTTGATCAGAATGAGGATATCTTTATCCAAGGAAAAGTAATTGAAAATAATAGTCTAGAAAATAAACAAGCATTTGGCGGTATTGACGCCCCATCGAGATTATATCTCTTTAGTTCAATTGACGCACCAAAAACTTCATTTAACGAAGATGGTCAAGTTGCCGAGGAACTACAAGCTATGTCAAACATTAATGTTTCTACACAACCCATTGAATTAGTTGATGACATACTTCGAGAGCAAGCATCTGTTAAAGAGGAGCCAAGTGATGATGATGATGTTCAAATGGTAGATGTCTATTCTGACGTGGAAGATTCTCATAGACAAGAATCAGAAAAGAGTGTACAGGATGTACAAGAAAAGGGAATTTCTCTAATAGAAACTTTTACAGAACTATCAAAAGAAAGTCCAACCGAATCTAAGGAAAAAGTTAATTTAGTTGAGTTTGGTGATGTAGTGGCTATCCCTACTGCAACAAAACATGCTGAGTCTAGGAAACAGGATGTGAGTTCTGTAAGAATAAGAGAAACAATAAGCTCCATTGAAACTAAAGAACAAACCATTTCTGGGGAGCCCAAAAAAATCGACAATCTCGTTGAACCTAGTGAATCAATTGTTATAAACAAAGAGTTTGAGGTAAAAATGGAAGAAACGGAACATGATGTGGTTGCCGAATCAGTTGGATCGATTAATTCGCTTGAATTAAAGCAAGCATCTAGTTCTTCGGAATCAAAGGAGATGGCTGAAATAAAAGAAAATTCCGAAAAACCAAAAGAGATATCTAGTCCTAAGGAAGCGGTGAGCCCTACTTCTTCATTTAAAGATCCGCCTAGTGTAAACGCTTCGACACCCTCTGCAGATGGTAATTACCAACAAAAATATATTGTCTGTTAATAAATATTTTCAATGATAGTTTTATGAATTGATATTAATTGGCTACTTGATTTGACATAATAAAGCTGGGGTTACTCCACACTCCGTTAGCGAAACTCCTAGTGCAGACATATCTGGTATTTATTAGACAAGACTTTAGTAAAACGAGGATAAAACATATATCTAATTAATTAATTTTAATGATCATGATAGAGAGCGTTTCAGCAGAAAAAAGACATAAAACGTGGCAACGCCTTGTGAACATGCTATTACAGGAATTTGCTAACCATCGTTATGCGGGTCTATTCCAAAATCCAATTCGTGAAATAGACGCTCCCGGTTATTATAACATTGTAAAACAACCGATGGATTTAAAGACTATTAAAAAACATATCCGGGAAGGGGTAAGAATTTTGTTCCTTTCATCAGCACCACATTTTCCTTATTAAGTAATTTCTTTGTCTCCGCAATTAGATTATCACTGATACGGATAAATTTGAACGCGATGTGATGTTAATGTTCATGAACGCGTTAGTATTCAATCGAGAAACGACTGATGTTCATAAGATGACGGTTTCGATGAGAGATCAGGTTGAGAAATTGCTTAAAGAGTTTAAGCAAAGTGAAAACTCGCGTGGTGGATATGAACCTACCACGAGAAGAAAAAGCATGGCGTCTGTTGATGGGTCACGGAAGCGAAAAGGCTCCAAGTTCCAAGAAGGATGAATAGATGATTCTAGTTGCTGACCTTAGCTTTTTTGATTTTTCTAATCTTTTTATCTTGTAATGATATGCTTTTTTTGCTATTAATTTATACACATCATATTGTGATATTATTCTGTAAAATAAATAAAATTACGATGTCATTTAGAGACATTTTGTGCTATTTTTATTCAAGCTTTATTTGTAGTGTGATGCGTATTTTCGTTTCAATATATTTATGCTTATTATTTGGTTATAGATAACAACATAATATTTTCTTCATTCCTTTTTCGAATTATCACCAAATCTCGTAACACCACTAGTAATTGGATACCCGTTAATCCAATCCTTCACCGAGATTTCTTTCTTTTCTGCCATTTTTACGGAAGTGCAACCAATCACGCTCGTGCCATCTGCACAAACGATTTGGATTGATTTTTGGGGGTGCTGATAAAAAATTGTGCCTGGCTGTGCTTTCTCAGTGCCGGTTAAGGAATCCGAGATCAGGTGAATATTGAACAGTTGGATTTGATGGCCGTTGAACCAGGTACGCAGTGGATACTATTTATTGATTCATTAAAAATTTTTGTATTAATGAACAACGAAATAATGAGTGAAGTTATGAAGAACTTTCTTACCTGGTGAGAAATAGCGCGATCTAAACGTACGACTTGCTCTGCTATCAATTTGTCCCAATTTATAATGGACATCTCTTTGGTGATTTTCGGCGCTTTAGTTACTTGTTTCACATCTTGTGGTTGCGCATTCACCTATAATATAAATAATTCAGTAATTCAATAATCCAATAAGATAAATAATTTAAAGGCGCTAACTTTATAATCATAAAAGTTGCGTAACGTATCGATCAACAATTCAGCCCCTTTTTCGGCTAGATATGCTTCTAATCTTTTGTATGTGGAATCCGGCGGAATTGGCTAATTGATTTAATTAATAATCAGTTAATATAGTGAAAGTGAAATCAGCTAATTGATTATAACGCTAATAAATGACCAATGTAATCTGCCTCAATATCCTTCCGGCATCAAAGATCTTTGGGTGTAATTCCAGTATCGTAATTCCCGTCTCTTTGTCTCCATTCATAATTGCGTATTGAATCGGAGAAGCACCACGATAGCTTGACAACAAAGGTAAATAAATTGATATTGCAACAAAAAATAAAATCATTCATCGTTTTTGTTGATTACTTTGGCAATAAGGACGGATGGATATTAATGGCGTTCGGAAGAGCGTCAAGAATCTCTTGAGTTAGGAAATATCCAAAAGAGACTACAATTCCAATATCAAATGATCCAGATGAAGCATCATTGTCTTCGTCATCTTTAGGCTTTGGTATCTATTTTATTAATAAGATGAAAAGATTGCATATTAACGTTTTTTTATCTTGATCGAACAATAATTTATGAAGAAGATCGATCGATTGTTATTATTGCTAGTCCGTTACCCTCCAACCTTGAAGTGTTTTCATCGGTGCATCATGAACAATCAATTGATGTTCTTTAGCAAATGATTTTATTTCGCCTATTTTTTCAAATAATGAAAAATGAGTACCAATTTTTTACTTTAGTGTTGAGTCACGCGGGGAAAGGAAAAAGAATTCGAACATACTGATTTTTATGGATTTGAGACCCCGTCCGACTCTTTGATCTGGGGGTGAGACCACCTCTATCGATTTCACCAATACATTTGGATTTGCTAAATTTGGTTAATTTATTTATAGATTCATGCTATTAATAAATGGGTCATCATATATATGTAATTTTGAACAACGATTTTACTTTTTTGTTCGTTGATCAATGCGCGTAAAGAAGCTACAGAAAAAGCATCAGATCCAAAGAAAAGAATACGGAAAGGTGATGATGGAGTGGATAAGTTCGCTTTTGTTGAGAAGTTAGAATAACAACAGTAAAAGTCGTTCCGTTGATGATTGTTTTGACGATGACGTTGGTAAAATTTCTTGAATGAACGATCAATTGTTTTAAATCGGTGCAATAGTTTTTCCTAAGCATAATTTTAACAACATGGATGAATCAATCATTATTATATTGTAATAAAATCGAGGAATTCCACTTACAGATGCTGTTAATGAAGATGAAAATAATCCTTTTCTAATGATCATCATTAAAAAAAAAAATAACTCGGGTGTGAGATGTAAAATGACTGTCAAACATAATGCAGGTCATATATTAATTTTCATATCGTGGATTTTTTGTCAGATTATTCCCAGTATCGTTATCATTTTCTTCTTTTTAAATAGGACGCGGCATTGGCAATTACAAAGACATGATTTTTTCAAACGGATTGACGTTATTAGATTTTTAAAGGAACGTTTTCGCGTTTTATTTTATTTCTAACCATTCTTTCTTAACAGATCAAATCTAACAGCGTAAATGTGAAAATGTAATAATGTATCGGCAGATATTGGAGAATACTGTATTTAGAAAGATCTTTTTAAACCTCAATTCTTATTTTTTTACAATCAATAAGAAAAAAATGTAATGTTATTTTCATTAACAATAAAAATATTAGCAAACGTACTTAGTTAGGCTAATTCATAATCGCATAATTATGTACCTTTAGCGGTTTTCGTACAGGTAATTTTCAAAGTTTTGTCCTATACATGCACAAATCCAGTTTTTTATTTGACGCAACAGAATTCGCTTTGTTGAATTTGTTTTTGGTAAAGTGCAATCAGAAAGTGCTCAAGTAGGACATTTTCGTCCAAAAGGAGAAGACATGGTTTATCAAATAACTGCTACTATTGGAATTGGAGATAATCGTTTCTCCGAGGCGGAAAC